TATATATATATATATATATGGTGTTCCTTATTATAGTTATAATATATTTTATCCCAAAGCCCGGTTTACACCTTTATATGAAACGAGGGGCTTTTCACGCTAAGATGTTACTAAGATGTGTATCACTCGGGTTCGGGGTGCTGCAGTAGATTTCACGACCCTAAACCCTAAACCCTAAACCCTAAACCCTAAGCCCTAAACCCTAAACCCTAAACCGTCAGGGGGCGGAGACCGAACGGTGGCTTCAAGAGGTTCAGCGCAGCGTGCAGCAGGTTGGGAAGGTTTGCTTGGAGGAATTGGGGCTTAGGGCTTCAGGGTTTAGGGTTTAGGGCTTCGGGTTTAGGGTTAAGGGGTTTAGGGCCTTTAGGGCTTTGGTTTAGGGTTGAGGCTTTAGGTTTTAGGGTTTAGGGCTTCGGGCTTAGGGTTTAGGGTTGAGGGCTGAGGGCTTGGGGTTTAGGGTTTAGGACTTCGGGTTTAGGATTGTTCAGGGTGTCAAAAGGTTCTTCGGCTGTCAGAAGATCAAAGCACTGATGTGCAGAGGGGCCTGGTAATTAAGCGATCTTCGCCTTCGGGTGTTGGGCTTTGGGTTTAGTGTTCAGGGAGACCCTAAACCCTAAACCCTAAACCCTAAACCCTAAACCCTAAACCCTAAACCCTAAACCCTAAACCCTAAACCCTAAACCCTAAACCTAGGAGTAGGGCGAGCAGGGTTTAGGGCTTAGCGTTCAGGGAGTAGGGTTTAAGGTTTAATTAGGGTTCAAGGAGTAGGGAGTGGAGAGTAGGAGTTTGGGGTTTAGGGTTTAGGGTTTAGGATTTAGGGTTTAGGGTTTCATTTCAAGTTTCTGGGTGCCTCGTATCTATTCCGGGGAGAAGGCATCAGGATGGTTGGGAAAGCTGAATGCCTCCACAATGCCGCAGCGGAGACAGATACCCCTAAACCCGAAACCGTAAATCCTAAACCCTAAAGAGGGATCCGAAGTTTCTGATTTCACGATTTCGCCTCGCTCGTATGTTATGCTTGTTTGTGTTGTTTCACTTGAGCATGATATACCCTCTTTGCTAAGTGAACATATGGCCTAGGCAAGAACCTCTAAACCCTAAAGCCCTATAGCCCCAATAGCCTATATCATAGTAGCCCTGTTTCCCGAATTCCAGCAGCCCCATAGCCCTGTATCCCTAAGCCTTGTAGCCTTAGACCCTGCAAGTATGACCCCAAACCCACCCTAAACCCGAAACATCCCGAAGCCCTAAACCCTAAACCCTAAATCTTTAAACCCCAAACCTTTACACCCCGAGTCCCATCATGACCCCCACCCGCAAGCCTGAAACACCAAAAAATGGCCCAACGCTCTGAGGGCTCAAGCAATGGGTTTAGGAGTTTAGGGTTCAGAAGGTCTAAGCCATAGAGCCTTCAGAGCGACACACCCCACGCTCGGTTTAGGGCTTAGGGTTTAGGCTTTAGGGTTTTTTAGTCAGGACCTCTCGCCCAGTTTTATTGGCACCACCCGCCCCAATTTCAGAATTACAATCTTAGGAACGACTATTTCCATTTGCTGGATTACTCGGGTTCATACATCTAAAATTCCTATTTCTAAATTCCCATAATCCCTGAGTGTCTCTAACTCGTAACGTATAATTAGCGTCGCCACTCTCTCTAATAATATCTGCTCCTGTTGTAGGCACTATGACACTACTAAATTCAATATTTCCTGATCAGTTTAAAAATAAATTTGATATACTGTCATCACTTGTAGCGTTACAATCTATTTTTATTGCTTTTCAAAGTTATATATCTTGTCTGATTTCTGAACACTGCTATATCTCTGTCTGCTTCTGCACCAAATTGATTTGAAAAGGTAAGCCCCACTAGTCTTTAGAAATCACAGGTACTAAACTATCTTCTAATGCACTTTGTGAAATACCACCGCTCCCTACATTAGGCTTTGGGCAATGTACTTAAACCCTAAACCCTAAACCCCAAACCCTAAACCCTAAACCCCCTAAACCCTAAACCCTAAACCCTATAGGCCTTGGGCAGCCGTCTCAAGTCCGAGCGGCTCCGCATGCGGCTTTCTTCAGCAGGCCTGGCATACCCAGAGAACCCATTACCCCTTAATCAAGGTTTAGGGTTTAGGGTGAGGGTTTACCTTAAATGTTAGGGGCCTTAATATTATGATTTAAGGTATATTCCTTGGGTAGATCGCGGGCTTCAGGGCCTTTGGGGTTTGGAGATTGGGGTTTAGGGTTTAGGGTTTAGGGGTTTAGGCGTTTAGAGTGTAGGCGTCAGCAGTAAGACTGGGGTTGGACCTTGGAGCCATCTTGACTTGGGGCTTACGTCTTCTGCACATAGTCATGCCATCAGTCTATCTTTTCTTATATTATAGAGATTTTTTCATTCGATTATTCGTCTATGCATACCTGTATAGGCGGACAAGGCAAGCCGGAATTGGAGCACACACGAAGTAGTGGATGAATGTAAGAAGTGCTAAGTGTACCTATGCCTTTATGTACATACCTTGCAAACCCAAAACTGACACCTGAGACGCGACCCCTAAGCCCCTAGAGCCTAAACCAAACCGTGCACCTGACCCAGTGTAGCATGGAATCCGTAGCCCGCTCCGAGCCTTTTGGCTGATCATGCACACGGATCACCGAACCGTCCACGCAGTCGACCATGGCCCTGGCGATTCACTGCCAGGTCTTGAGCATGCTGCTCTTGGTGAGAGTTGCTCGGTTTAGGGACTTTAGCTAAGTTTCCGATATTATGTTCACTCGTAAGCACGAGCCGCCAGACTTTTGACAGGGCCTCCAAGAGCAACCAAGGTTGATGTACAAGCCGTAGACAGCTGTGCCGGCGGCGTGTCCTTGCTGCAGAACAGCCTCCACGTCCAGTCTCGTGCACGCGGCCTTCAGAGAGCATCCAAGCCATGGGAGACCTACTTGTATATGGTAGGGACTCATCACAAAGCCGGGAGCCAGCTGACACGAAACACCATGAAGTGGGCATTCGATTTTTTGGGAGCCAACTATTCCTGTCAGGAGCATCATTTTCAGCACGCCACTCTGACATCAGTGGGAGGACAGAACAAATGTGCAGTCTCGACGGACTGTCGCATTCACTGGGATAATGTCGCCACCCAAGACGTCGTTCAGTCGAATCGCGAGCTGGCCGGTGCAGGTGGCATGAAGTTCGCTCATGCTGTGCGTGACCCGAAGGTGATGCTTGCCTCCTCCTACTGTTATCATCATCGCGGAGAGGAGTATGGCAATCCTATTGCTTCCTGGCCGGACATCATGCACATGGGGCCGCTCGAGGGCTTGCATGATGTATTCGATGGCATGATGAAGCTCTTCCACGACATGGTGAAGATCTACACTAACTCGGAAGCTGACACATACCACTCCCGCTATGAGGACATGACGGAGTCCTCAGAAAGCTTCGACACCCACGTAAAGGCACTCTTTGCGCCGCGGCCAAGATCAGAAGTTGATCTCGTGAGCCCTCCCCACCCACGCCTATCCCGCAGTGGTTTGCTCCCAAGCCCGAATCCGGATCTTCAATCCTAAAGCCCTTAGCTTACACGCCGAATAGCCCAGAACCCTCAGCCCCTAAACGGCTATCCGCCCTGAACCATCAGGACTTCATGTTTGGAGACCTCATAACGCCCGAAGAGCATGAAGAGATCCGCAAGCGGGCGAAGAAGGAAGACCTCAATCGGGGTGAGAACGGTCTCTCCGCCGGCAAAAACCACACCAACAGCGAGGACATCCATGAGAGTTTTACGGTTTGGGTTTAGGGTTTAGGGTTTAGGGCCCGTGCTTAGGACAACCAGCTTGATTGAAGAGTCCTTAGAATTTTTACATGTGGACATTCCGTATGAAGACCTTCGAAAAGCAGTTCTAGTCTGTTCAGGGAGTTTTAGGGCCCATCAGCGCTGACCTTTTCAACCCTAACCCGACACCCCAAATTTCCATGAGCCCCAACCCTAAAGCCTAAATCCCTACCTGAAGCCCCCTGCATCCCCAACCCGAATCAACAACCCGAGCGACGTCACCAACCGCAGCTATCATGATCATAGCATGTTTCGAACGTAATTTGGTGTCTCATATTTGACTATTCTTCTTGCTCTTGCTGGTGCTGCTGCTGGTGGGTGTGTTGCTGAGGTGTGGAGCTGCTGGTGATGGTGGTGGTGGTGGTAAGTGGTGGTAGTGGTGGTGCTTGTGTCGCTGCCGTCGCAGTTGCAGCTGCCGTGCGCTGCTGCTGGCTCTTCTCCAATGTTAAACAACCCGAAACTCCTAAGCACTAAACCTTCTTCTCCATGTTCTTGCCATGTGCCTTGTCGTCGTGGCTTCGAGCCCTTTGATGCGAGGACTGTGAGACTAAGGCGCTTGCGGTGCTGGAGCAAAGCCCGGACCTGTACCAGCCCATCCAGGAGCTGACTCAATGCCAGACCATGCCCTGCATCCCCCAAAAGAAGGCGTCATTCTACCCTAAACCCCAAACCCTAAACCCCAAACCCGAAACCAAAACGGAGAGCCCAATTATGCTTTGCTGTATGTGGGCTCGGAGTTTTTTGCTGGCCTAGGCTCCAGGCTTGACCGTCTTAGGCCGGAGCCCTGAACCTGTCTAGTCAGATATTTCTACTATTACTATATTATTGTTATGACTATGCTTATTATGATTCTTCTTCTTGTTGTTAGTATATATATATATATATGTGTGTGTGTGTCTGTGTGTGTTCTTGCAAATCGCAAAGCAGATTTTCGACTTCACTTTTCTCTCCGTAGTCGTTCTTGTGTACGGAAAGACTACAGGCTTCAGCTGGCTCACATCTTCCCTGAGCCCTAAACTCTAAACCTTA